TATATATATATATATATATATATACTGGCATTCAGTGAATACAAAATAAACTGTCTGTACAAACATGTCTTGTGTTTCCATCCTCCATATTTACATTCAAAGACCAACATGAAAACACTCAGTAAATCACTGAGGGAAAAAAATAGCTTGAGCAAGAACAATATCTACACAAAATGACTGTACTATGGTGCGTATGTTCAGCACTGCACTCATACGATCAAGAATTTAGGAACAAAGATCACAAATCCCCACTCCCACTCAAATAACTATTTGCTCTAGTACAAAGTGTACACAGTGGTTTTAGAGTGTTCAAAAGTCCTGAATGTGATAGAATAGACGGTGCACCATGTCTGCAGGATATTCTGCTTGTTTGGGTGTGTGTGTTTTTCTTCAGGATCTTTTGAGACCCTGGTCGTCTCAAAGAGAAATGAGCAATGGGTAGGTCTGGTTTTGTCATTCACCTTTGTTTTTCTGCACTAATTAAGTGGCTAACACTCTGAGCTACAGTATATCTTAATTGTCAATACAGTGTCAATAATGGGAAAATATCCATCATAGATTTATCTGTTCAGTCAGGGCCATGCACAGATATTTTGGGGGCAGGTATTCAAGTGAAAAAAGGCAGACCTCTCATTATTATTTATAAACATAAAGTTAACACTACACACTATGAGGCTGTTATACCATTAAAATGAAATCAGTATCTTGCATTTATCAAAATCTATTTATATTGTAATTACAACTGCATAATGTTGAGATGAATGTTCTAAATATGTGCACCTCTAGTTTTCTCTTCCTCTTCTCTAAAGCAGCGCAGCATGACCTCGCCCCCTTTGCTGCCTTTTCCCGAGGGCGGGGTTTATCTGGATTTGTTACATCACGAACCTGGGAAGTAACTTGTTTCCTACCAGACGTTTTTGTAGGCATTAAACTGCCAGAATATTAAAAGCCGATATCTCCGTTTGCATTGAACTTTCAGCTTTGTAACTTTGTAGATATTGTTTATGCTCAAACAGCAACATTACACACTAACGTTAAAAAAGTGAAATCGCAATCAACCACCCCTTTAATATAATAAACTTATTGTTTATTTGAACTGTTGTATAAAATTAATATCACATTTAAAATCCTGCTGATATTTGCTTGTTGTTATGCTTAATGGAAGGCAATTCATCTTCTACAGTCTTGCAAAATTAAAACGTACATGCAGTTGTCGGACACACCGTAATTGAGAATTTATGTCACGGGCCAAATTTAAAGAAAAACTAAAATATAAAATAAAAAAATATCTTGCAAAAAGGGCACTTATCCAGTCAGGGGCCAAAAGCACCACTTTGGGTGTGTATGCGTCTGCATACAGTAATGAGTCCTCTATTGTCCCTCCAGGTCAGCGATACCAGCACGACCAGACTCTTAAAGGTATTGCAACAAAGTTGCTAAAAGTCTGCTATGCCAATAGATTATGTAAAGCAGTCGTTCTCAACCAGGGGGCCATGGGGCCTCAGCAAACTCCCAAGGAGGCCTGATACTTAAGATAATTTAATTGTATGGTCTCCTCACAGAAGCGAAGTGTGAGCAGTGCTGAGATGAGAACTCTTTCTAACATCTCACAAAAGTTTGTCTGGCAAGACTTTAACCATTTTTAAATGAATGGGCAGTTATTGGGCTATTTATACCTGATCTGACCCTTAAAAAGGCTAACTGATTTATTATTAATTTAAACAAATTTAAATTTATTTTTTAAGTCATAATAATATCTACATGAATAAAAAAATATTATTTACAGGTTGTTTGGCATATATTCTGTAATGTAGCTGACGCTGACCTTAACAAGCTCAACCTTTGTCCTGAAATGACTGCAGTCTAAGGCAATAGAAGTAATCATGGTTGCAACATATGTTTGTCATATTTTAGCCTTTCACTAAAAGTTTTGTGGAGTTTTATGATTTGTCGAGCTTGAACTTTCTAAAAATGTCCATGTTTTCTCTCTTTTTTTTTTTTTTGCTTAAAGAAATAAAATGCTTTTGTTACAATATGTATCAGTTAGACAGCAATAGATAAGGGACAACTCTATCACTCTGTGATTTGCCTCTGTGTGTTTTTATTCCTTCTGTCTTTCAGATAGAGGTGCAGAGCATGAAGGTGGACTGCAAGGTGGCATCACGCTTCGCCCACACTGTCATGACCACTAAAGCTCTCAATAAGGCCAACATCTCACAGGAAGTGTCCTTTGAGGTGGAGTTACCCAAGACCTCCTTCATCACCAACTTCAGCATGTCAGCTCTTTTCCATCTGATTTAGTTTAAAATCAGAGGAACTCCGCACGAGCCAAAAGAATCCACTGCTTTTTATTTTAATATATGCTTGCAGTTTGGGAAATTATTGAAATGTGTTCTGACACAGTTTTGGGATTTTCAGGGAGATTGATGGCAAGTGTGGTGAAGGAAAAAAAGAAGGCCAAGCAGCCGTATCAGAAGGCTGTGTCATCTGGCCAGACTGCTGGTTTAGTCAAGTGAGAAGAGGAAAACAGGAAGTCATCGTGAACTTTAAACTGCTTGTTGCTAATATACTACTAAGTAACTTGTGTTTTGGTGTTCCAGGGCTTCAGGTAGAAAAATTGAGAAGTTTTCTGTTTCTGTGAATGTCGCAGCAGACAGCAGTGTCAAATTTATTCTCACCCATGAGGAACTTCTTCAGCGACATTTTGGCAAATATGAGCTCATGATCAGAGTCAAACCCAATCAGCTGGTCCAGCACTTTGAGGTTCATTATTAACCACAACAGTTTTTATAACATCATAATTAAGAAGCCACATGGTATAATTTTAGTGTACTGCAAAAAGGTGAAAAACTAATGGTGGTGTTTTACATTTTTACATTAAAATTTAAACTTAAAATCTTTATGGTAAAGGAATAATTCCCCCAAAAATGAACAATTTACTCACTGTCAGGCCATCCATGATGTAGATGAGTTTGTTTCTTTATCAGAACAGATTTGGAAAAATTCAGCATTACATCATTTGCTCACCTAAGGATTCTCTGTAGTGAATGGGTGCCGTCAAAACGATAGTTCAAACAGTTGATACACTTGAGAAAGCAATATTATGGATAGAAGCCTCGTATTTTAGCCAGAAGCAATGGTTTGAAGTTTAAAACGTCTTGATGGATTTGTTTATTAGAAACATGCAGCTTTTCGCTTCACAATATGTTAATTAATGGACTGGAATCGAGTGGATTATTGTGATGTTTCACCTGTTTGGACTCTCATTCTGACGGCACCCATTCACTGCAGAGGATCCATTGGTGAGCAAGTGATGTAATGCTGAATTTCTCCAAATCTGTTCTGATAAAGAAACAAACTGATCTGAGGATGACAATTTTCAGCAAATTTTCATTTTTGGGTGAACTATTCCTTTCAAAATGTAAAAAATTGCAATGTTCATGGACATGTTATTTGTCAACAACCCACCTATCTATATGATTATATAGATCTATAATGCATGTCATTGTTAAAACACAATACAAATATACTAAAGACAATATTAAGAATTTTTTATAGTAATAATTCCTCTAATACTGTGAACACCTCTTATTTAAACAATGAATCACTTGTTAACTTGAATTCATATTATGCATATTAAATGCAAAAAAAAAAAAAGTAAATAAAATAACCATAATCAGTCCTGTCTCTTATCCACAGATTGTAGCAGATATTTATGAACCTCAGGGAATTGCATTTTTGGACACATTCGGTACCAATGAACTGCTCCCTCTAGTGAAGAAAACTGTCACTGACAAGAAGGTGATGATTCAAATATCTTTGCATGGATGGATACCAATTTATACCAGTATAAATCATTATCAGTATACTAAATAATGCTAGTAACTAAGAAGGATATTATTATTATTATTATTATTATTATTATTATTAATTATATATTAAAAATGTACATATATCAGTTTGTACTGACATAACTTTATGTTTTGGTAATGTATCTGTTAAATAAATAGCCTTTGAACTGTACAGTTTGGACCCTGTTGTTAATTTAGTTTTTTTTTAACTAATTAGTGTATTTTAAATTTATGTAAATTAATAAAGTAAATGCATGTTTAATTATTTTGTAATATACCAAGTAAGAGGGTTCCTGAATAATTTACAAAATAGCTGACAGATAATTACAAAAAATAAAATGGACAAATATATAAAAGCCTGTTTCAGCCGTGGGATAAAAATAAAAAATAACAAACGCAATTGTGACTTTTTTTCCCCTCACAATTTTGTTGAAAAAAAGTTATAGACTTCCAACTGTGAGTTTACATCTCACAACTTTTTTCCTCACAATTGCGAGAAAAAAAAGTCCAAATTGTGAGATAAAAAGCAATTACGTTTTTTTTTTACCCATGGTAGAAACAAGCTTCCAAATGAAATGATGAAATTAAATTAAATGTTTGGATTTAAATCAAATCAAAATTGGAATGGAATTGAGAAATGTGCATCGATACCCAACCCTAGTTTCAATCTAGTGCAATTGTGATAATACTTTAAATGTTGATAAGATGTTGACCTTATTAGCAAAGCTGACTTTCAAGAAAATACTGTTAATAGTTTGCTAATAATTTGTTACCAAGGGATTTTATGAAGAAGTGTCAAGTCCTCTACTCTCAGACGTGCATTTTCACTATCCGGACAGCACTGTTAACTCACTGACAAGAACAACAGCCAACGGCTCTCCGGACAGCACTGTTAACTCACTGACAAGAACAACAGCTATTCAACGGCTCTGAGATCATGGTCGCTGGCCGACTTAATGACTTAAATGAAATAGACAACTTTGAAATTGAAGTGTTCGCACAAGGGGTGAGTAAATACTCTATCCTGTCACACGTATACAGTTCATAGCGCCAGTATTTAAAAGCATTTATAAATGTGGACATTGGTGGTTCAATGTATGTGAGCATAAAAATCTCCTTGTCAGTGTGGGAAAAAAAAAAAAAATTTTTAGGATTACAAATAATTTAGGACGAATGTGTCATTCTGTGCCTATATCCTAAGCTGGATAATAGAGCGAGCATAAAAGCATAATCTCCTTGTCAGTGTGGGGAAAAAAAAAAAAAATGCTTTTAGGATTACAAATAATTTAGGACGAATGTGTCATTCTGTGCCTATATCCTAAGCTGGATAATAGAGCGTATTTTAACAATAGAAAAATGACATGACTAATGAATCCATAGATCGTAGCCTCATTAATATCGTATATCGTTGTGTAATAATATTCTCAGTGAATTTACATCATTGGTTTTGGGGACTTGTAAAACTAATCTCACTTTGTTTGTTTTGCAACAGTTCGAAAATAACTTTGAGCTGAAAGGTCAAGCAAATACTCAGAAGAGGGAAATCATATTTCCTGATGAAGAGTATAGCTTTGTGGACTTTACTGAGCGTCATTTGACCATCCAGGAGCTCTTGGATAAGAAGTCTGTTTGAAAAAAGCGCGATCTTTAGCACACTAACCTAAAACTCTCAAGGATAAATAGTCCTCTACATAGTTTAATTCAATGAAAAAATTACTAGTATAAATGTAATTTGTCTGAATTAACTTTACTGAATTTAATTGGGTCTGAATTAATTCGTAATCTTTTAAGCAGAAGATTTGAATCAAATTCAATTAAAATACAAAAATATTTTCCGACAGAGACAAGGGTACACCAGAGGAGAAAGGAAATGCCACTGATGAAGCTCTGTGCCTTTCGTTAAAGTACAATTTTGTTACACCGCTTACCTCCATGGTCTTCACTAAACCTGAAGATGACACCAAAAAAGGCATGTTTATTGCTGACAAGCTGACTGAAGGTATGAATAAACTGTCAAATAGCAAGCAGAAGTTTGCAAGAACTCATGGATATGGCGCATTAAAAAAACAACAAAAAAAAAACGTCTCGCTGAAAGGTCAAGCAAATACTCAGAAGAGGGAAATCATATTTCCTGATGAAGAGTATAGCTTTGTGGACTTTACTGAGCGTCATTTGACCATCCAGGAGCTCTTGGATAAGAAGTCTGTTTGAAAAAAGCGCGATCTTTAGCACACTAACCTAAAACTCTCAAGGATAAATAGTCCTCTACATACTTTAATTCAATTAAAAAATGACTAGTATGAATGTAATTTGTCTGAATTAACTTTACTGAATTTAATTGGGTCTGAATTCATTCGTAATCTTTTAAGCAGAAGATCTGAATCAAATTCAATTAAAATACAAAAATATTTTCCGACAGAGGCAAGGGTACACCAGAGGAGAAAGGAAATGCCACTGATGAAGCTCTGTGCCTTTCGTTAAAGTACAATTTTGTTACACCGCTTACCTCCATGGTCTTCACTAAACCTGAAGATGACACCAAAAAAGGCATGTTTATTGCTGACAAGCTGACTGAAGGTATGAATAAACTGTCAAATAGCAAGCAGAAGTTTGCAAGAACTCATGGATATGGCGCATTAAAAAACCAAACAAAAAAAAAACCGTCTCAGGTTACTTATGTAACCATGGTTCCCTGAGTAGGGAACGAGACACTGCGTCCTCTAGGGGTCGCTATGGGGAACGCCTCGTCGTAACCCGTGTCTGAAGCATACATTCAAAAAACATCAACAACATGTTGGCCGGCAACAGCCCATGACGTCACTACCGTGCGACTATAGTATAAATAGGCGCCGGGAGAAAACGTCATTCACTTCTTGAAGCTTGCGTCCGAAGCATGGCAGGAAACCTAGAGGACGCAGTGTCTCGTTCCCTACTCAGGGAACCATGGTTACATAAGTAACCTGAGACGTTCCCTTTCAAGGGAACTTCGAACTGCGTCCTCTAGGGGTCGCTATGGGGAATGGTATACCCATGCCACCATGCTGAATGGGAGTGAATGCCAGAAACCTATGGCGAGCACTAAGTACCAACTCTACCATGCATTCCAGAAACCTATGGTGAGTACTAAGTACCAACTCTACCATAGCCATGGGAGTTGCCCCTAGGACGTTAGACGGCTGTCCGTGACATTATTCCCTACGTCCAAAGGCCTAGGCTACATACCCCAAAATACTTACCTGTTAGGGCCAGACTCCTGGGCCCGGGGTAGAGCTCAAGGCTTGGGATCAGGAATAGATTCCTTTAAGGGGATACGACCAAGAGCCTAGCATCACACTACGTCTTGGCCTGTCACACAGGGGCTACCGCTTGCTCTGCATGAGCTTGCTGAAGGAACTGTCTCAACAGACCTCTAGTAGCAAAACCCTGTTAAAGTAGGTATCCAGAGGATACCTAAGTGGAGTGGTGCCCAAGGTGGAACTTTAACCAACTCAAGAAAGGG